ACTTCCTTAGTGAGTTTTTCTAGTTGTGTATCCATCATGTATCTTGATGCTGCTACACATCTACTCTCTATAAAGTCATAAAGGATCATCTTTGCTATACTGTGTTATCTATTAATTCTGTTGATAATCTATCTTTGCTATGTTGTTTGATAATCTAATCAAATTTTCTAGAAGGTTCTATTGACAATTCTATTTGTTCTTTACACGTGACTTTGTTGTTGTTGTTTTGCTTTGCATGTGCGCTTTTACTTTGTTTTGGCCAATTCTAGATGTGTTTGTTTGTTTACGTATTTGTGTAACTATCAATGATCTGCGTTCGGGGTCAGGCCAATATTCTCTTTTTCCAAAATTTTCTTCGCAAAATTTTGTTTTTCTTAAATAGCTTACTTCGTACAAGTTTCTCTTTGCTGCTTTCTAAGCTTACTACCTGTTAATTTTGTTGCTCTTTCTTTTTTGTTATAGTCACTTGAACTGTTTTCTATAGCTTTTGTTGAGTTTTTGTCAATTTTGCTTCTGCTTGTTTTTGTGTTCAAGTGATCGTTAGGAAGAGTTGTGTTGATGGAATACGGGGTTAAATAGTTTTTTAAAAGTAAAAAAGTAACTATTTTGGTATTATATGCATCAAAAATATATCTTTTATATAACTATATATAAATACTAAAAGTTCATCACTATGCTTCAAATAATAATTGGGTAGTTCAATAGAGTTAATGGAACTAATAGATACCATTCTATTTACTTTATTGCTCCATTAATCATTTTCTTAATCAACCTTATCCATTACCAACTCTGCTTCAAATATATATAATAACTTCCATATATAATAAAAACACACTTAATCAAAAAGATCACCTTAATACAAAAAATATACAATATATATATAGGATTTAATTATTTATTACAAGTGCATTGTAATATACCCCATTAAGATCAAAAATAACATAAAATCAAAACAATGGTTTTTTATATGATTAAGATTAGTACAGTCAGACCTCTCTAAATGCACATTGTCGGAACCAGCTCTAGCATGTGCATTTAGAGAGGTGTTGCATTTAGGAAGGTAAAAATCTATATATGTAATATTAGTTGGGCCCAAAAGAAGACGTGCATTTAGAGAGGTGTTGCATTTAGAGGGGGTGCATTTAGGGGGGTCTGACTGTATTAGGTAAGATTAAGATAAATATAAAGATAAAATTATAATAAAATCTTACAAGGAATTTTTTTGTTAGAATCCAAAAAGTAGTTGTATATGTGAAATTTTGAGTTATACCTGATCTTATTTTTTAATTTATTAATCAAAAGGGTGTGGTGACTTAGTGGAGTTGGTAAATTGTCACACTCCCAAGCAGCAGGATAAGAGTTTGAATCTCATCGGTGATGAAATTTGAATTTAAGAAATGTGTTACGGCAGACTGTATACAATTGAACAGATCATTGGATCTGTAGGCTTGGTCATATCAGCTCGTATTAAGAGGTTATAGAATGTTAATGTGATGAAAAAGTTACATGAATTCTGAGTAAAGCAACTGAATAAATCTAGGAGTTTGGAGCACACAGAAGCCTGCTTGGCAAGACCCAAATAGAGAGGTAGCACAAACTTTTGATGATACTACGTAAAAAATTATCATCCAGAAAAAAGAAAAACTAAACGAAAACGAGATGTTTGGCAAGCACTATACCAACCAGACTGTCAAGTCAGTCGGAAGAAGGGATTCACCCTTCCAGACCATCTGGATTGGGAGTTTGGAAAAACCAGAAGTACGATTGGTAGTCTATATAGTGGGTACTGAAGTTTGGGCGAACTTTATAAGGACAAAAAAACCAGGAATTGTACAGTTTAATGATTAGCCTTGACTGCTAGTATTGATTTTGGCCATAGCAGATAGGTTCTCTGAACCTAATTTAGAAATGTGTGAAACATAGAAGAATTAGAAGAGCATCTACTACATCTACTTGTAAAAACCCATGGGTAACCAACGTGGATAACCAAATCCAAATAAGATAGTAGAAAGCACTTCAGTATAAAGATACCTAGCTTAGAAATAATTGGTGGGTAGTATTTCTGTAATACTAAAATGTAGATCTATATAATTAATGACAAAACATCAATAAAAGCTTGGTCCCGAAGACACCTCAAAAAAAAAAAAAATAAAAAAATTAATTGATCAGAGGGTGTATTACAATGCATCTGTAATAAATTATATAATCTATATATGAATATAAATTAAAATTTTATTAAAATAACCTATTTTAATTTTTTAATTAACAAAGCTTAGATGAACTTTAAATACTTAAATATTTAGATATTAGACAAGTTTTTATACATATTTGAAAAATACAAACTAGCCATACCTGCACCTTTTGGACACCTATTTAAGTAGTCTGCCTATTATTAAATTCTATACTAGATACCGTACCTGCAACCCTTTTTATTTGAGTTATCCATTTAACCCCTCTGCGCCTATGTACTCCGAGGCCTAAATCAATCGGCCACTAGAACCCACTAGAACTTCCAAAAGACGGATACTAGGGTCTCGTTTCGCACATGTTGCACTTTTATAAAATTTAAAAATTTTAATATACATAATTATAAATACTGTATATAAAATTATTAAAATTTTTTCTTAATAAATTAATTGAATTATTAATTAATAACACTAATCACCTGAGTTGATATTCAGCAAATTCCATTACAGCTTTTACGGTAAATAGAACTCGTAAATTGGATTTTATCCCGTAAATAAAACATTCTAATAAAGTAGATTTGATATTTGATATTTAAAACAAAGTATATATTTTAATTTTCAATGTTAATAAGCACAGTTTTATTAAATTTTTTTTTTTTTGAAAAATGGATTAATATAAAATACGAAACATTGATTCTATGGTACGTAAAGAAATTTTTTAAGACATCACAATCATTTTTAAATATGTATTTTCACAAAAAATCAATATGTAAAGAATACTACAACTTGTCAAAAATTATATATATATGTATATATTTATAAAGAAGCTAGAAAGCTTTCGCCTTGCCTTTCCACTTTTTTGAAGGACCCCCTCCTAGCTGTGCACCACGATTGTTGCATGCAACCTCAATTTCAGAGACCATCTGGCTCGCTAATTTTGCAACTGCTGAATTTTTCTTGTTATAAGCTACAGCATTAATTGCGATCTGGTCCAAATCACTCTTGAAACCCTAAATTAAGGAGATATATTAATACAAACTTTTTTGTTCAAAAAATAAATAAATAAAGTAAAAATTTACCAGTTTGCATCTGTAAAACCCATTACGAACACGTTGAAGTATCATATCAAGACACATAGGGTATGGAACATGATCAAGGTAATCTGTGTATCGAGCAAAGTCCACATGTTCGTGGAAAAGAACATATTCTTCGTTTTCGATGAATTCTGTCAATACTTGATCGAATACTCTCTTTTCGTCTTCAGTTAATTGGCTACAATCAACCTCTGGTGTTCCACTTTTCCTAATTTCCCACGTGAAAAAGTCTGAAGGATCTTGTCCTTCTTCATCCCTACGTGTAAAAATATTAATATATGACTAGAATCAAAATAATAAATTTATACTAACAGGGAATAATTCAAAAAGAAAAATACCATTGAACTAAATATGTGGGAAATTCACACCAAGAGTTTTCATCTATCGGATTAATTTTGGCGATAGTGCCAGAGAAATCGGTTGAATCGAGACGAACTACTACTTTTTCATCAACTTCAAAACTCTGATTAACACCAGTGACAAATCGCTTATACAAAACGAGGAATTCGCAAACCCCCTCGATATCAAAATAAGAGATATCTATTTTTTTGTTGGTTTGCTGGAAATTTGGCTCCATTGGATACAAAGAATCGTCCGTCGGTGTATATTCCAGTATAACGCATGAAACAGTAGCATATGGCGGAGGTCCAGAGGACCATTTAACGTCCCGTATTTCCAGAAATTCGATATCGTTAAGTTGATAGCGGTTGTATGGAAGTGCACTAATATTTGATTTCTTGGATAGATCCTTTACAAGCTTAGAATCAACAAATTCTATTGTTGATCTTTCAACAAATGTTCGATGGCCCTTGTAGAAGTAAGCAACAACATCTCCGCGTTGAGGAATATAAATTGACTTTGGATTAACGCTCTTAATCCATTCTGGACGATTATCACCAACATCCCCAACATCGCCGACTGCTTCCAAAATAGCAGCGTCGACGTCATCTTGGCCAATTCTTGATGTTTTGTCATTAATTATATAGATCTACATTTTAGTATTACAGATATACATATTCACTAATT